GAACTGGGGAGGAAACAGGAGCTCACCCTGCTAACGCGAAGGCTGGATTCGAACCGCTGAACCATCGACCATTTCTGGCCAGCAACTTTCAGCGTCATTAAGCCGCTGCGCCACCGCGTCCCTTGGTGTACCCTTATTTCCCTTGGTGTACCTTTTATAGCAAAATCATAAAAATCACCAGTTTGAGGCTTCCAAAATTGTTTTAGATCCTTTACTCTATCTTCTTAGAGGCTCCAGCATATCTTATAGACCTGATGCATGATAAAAATACTGAAATCCGTAAAGTCTGCGATAATACACTGGACATAATAGCAGTAAGTGACTATTTTATTCTAAGAATATAGGTAGTCCTCAGTTAATGACCATTCATTCAGTAACCATTTGAAGTTACGATGCTACTTAATGAGGAGACTTATGGCTGATCCTCAAAGCTGTGGCCATCGCAGCATCCCAGCAGTCATGGGATCATGATTTGGGCACTTGACAGCTGGCTTGCAATTACGATAGTCACAGTGTCCTACTGTCACGTGATCACCATTTGCAACCTTCACTGCCAGCTTCCAACAAGCAAAGTCAATGGGGAAGCCAGCAGGAGGTCGCAAATGGAGATCAAGTGATGTCACGCCTAACAAGCGTGCAGGATTCACCTAATGATGACAACTGGAACTGCCATTTTAAGTTGGCATGGTCAAGTATGTACTTTATGACTGCGTCACCTAGCAACTGAGTTCCCAGTCCCAATTACTTTGTTAACCAAGGACTACCTGTATGAACAGTTATTCTGAAGAGCAAGAGGAGATTCAGAACAATGAGAAATGGAAATATATTTATCAATTGCACCCACTATGTAACAAGAATATTTTAGTTCGATATGTTCATTATACTTACTGATTTTTATACATAGACAAACCGGAAATTGAGGACAGGCGAATGCTTTAACATGCAAATAATGTATCCTTTATATATATGAATTTATTTTGCATAGTTTTTTTTATTGTTTAGGGAATCCATATCTAATATCTGATGTGGATAATATTCACTTATAAAACAGTTGTAATACTATGTAAAACATAATACATCAATTTATTTTAAAAATGCACAGAAACACTGCTAAGAATGCTGGGCTTTCTTTTCTTGAATAATACAAATAATTCAAATGATTAATTACAATATTTCCAGATTAGCAGACTCTAATGGATATAGCATCATAATTTTTTAAAATATATTTCTTTCCTGTACTTTTGGATTTTTTTGCATGACCACTGCAGAATAATTTTAAATTTACTGTTGACTGTAAGACAAAGTAGTACTAATTTGGAATTAGGGCCACATAATTCTTTAAAGAAAGGTATACTGTAAATGCTGTGTTTCATCTTAGTGTTAAAGACCAGTTGCTAAGGAAGAATACCATTTGTCTTCTGCTTCTTGGTTGCATCTCATTGGCTATGTGATGTAGAATCCTGGATTAGAGATGACTTTCGCCAGACCCAGCAGTGCTATTTCTAAGCTCTTATTTTTCATGATATTGTCACTCTTCTTTATAAATTAGTTTAACATTTTGGCTTCTCGCAGGCAAAATAAATTACATTTAGAGCCAAAACTCCAGCACCAGATGTTCAAATAAGAAAAAAATTACTGCTTGTTTTTTATTTGCTGTTTGAACTTGATCTTCCTCTTTTCCACCCCCTCACCTTCTTGCAATATGTTTGATTTTGTTTTGAAGGCAAAGATAACAAAGAATGTCATTGAAATCCTAACACTAAAATCTCTAAATGTACAAACAGGAATATGATGAAGAGTGGGCTAAGAAGATACAAAGTGAGAAATTCCGATGGCACAACTCTCAGTGGCTAGAAATGGTGGAGAGCCGGCAGATGGATGAAAATGAGCAATACTTGTATGGGGACGACCGCATTGAGCCCTATATTCATGAAGGGGATATTCTAGAAAGACCTGATCTTTATTACAGTGCTGGTAAGGCTGACACAAAAAGCAGCATAATACTCTCCCTTCCCACCCCCAGGCTTCTTGCAGCTGCTCCTTGGAATAGATGTGCAGTACATTCCTCTCATGTGGAAGTTCAGTACAAATTGTTGGTCATTCCGTACTGTGAAGGCTTAGGGTTGGCTTGCTTAATTGTAGCTGTAGGGAACTGAATGCACGTTTCCACTTTGTTATCAGTATTAAAGTTGTTAATGCAAGAGATTTTTCTGAATATATTAACAAGCAAGACTCTCACAGGATTTGAGGACTATTTTGTAAATCTGATGGCAGAGGCTGCATCTTACCTGGAAGAATTAAAAGAAAGTTTTCTGGTTCAAAGGGATTGGAATAGATTAATAATCTATTATACACATTAATGCCCACAGATATTTACACTTGTAAATATACAGTACTGTGCAAAAGTTTTAGGCAGGTGTGAAAAAATGCTGTAAAGTAAGAATGCTTT